GCAGGAATGTTACTGAAAACGGTAAAAAAAAACACGTAGAATGATGAGTAATAGGGGTGAAGGATGAATTTTGAAGGACAAATGAGATAGAGAAAGTGAGCATAAAGTGTGATGAATAACGACAAATTAGAATGAAGATTGGTTATGATTGAAGGTGGTCGATGGAGATTGAATTGGCGGTGGTCGACGGAAGTCAGTGGCGGTCGACGACAGTCAACAGTGGTCAACGACGATTGACGATAGTCAACGATGCTCGATAATGGTCGACAGAGGTCAGTAGTGATTGACGACAGTCGACGGTGTTGGTGTTGAACTTCAATTTCATCTTAGCTTCAAGATCTTCTTCAAGTCTCAAGCTTCTCTCCCCCCTCATGAGATGGGTCAGGCCTTATTTATAGTCTCGAGTGTAATTAATACAAGAATATGAACCATTTTGATCCGACGATCTGGAGAGTTTCTTTCGATCAAACGACATTTGATGAATATTTGAGTGTCTTATTGATGTCTAAAATGAGCGATATTTGACTCGCTGAATTTATCTTGTCGAGACGCTTGACTCGACTATAAACTTGTTAGATTCAACATTCGCTTGACCTTCCAAATGTATATGAAAACTTCTAAGAGCGGTTTAATGACTTGATTTGAGCTTAATTTGACTCTGATTAGACCAATTTTGTTATCATTGGGTCCGTCTTGTCAAACCGATCAATTTGACTGTAAGTTTGTTGAAATTGAAGCTCTAAATGACTTTTAATTGAAATTTGAATGTCCACTAATCAAAAAGTTGTGTCAGGATCTGTGCTATGCCCTGAGATCTGTGCTAAATGAGGAAAAAATTGTTGGTGTATCAATAGTAATACAAATTGACGAGGTAACTTAATATTAAAAAAAAATATTGCTAGATCAATTATTTATACCTTTCATAAAAATAAAAATAATTAGGCGACTATATTTTTATAGATATATATAAATATTTATGTAATTAAATACACAACTAATTAAATAAATAAATTAAAAAATACTAATAGTAAATCTAGAATTAATATGAAAGAAGACTAGCTCTGAACAAAAAGCTAATTAGATTTAAATTGTTATTGTAAGTGCATCTAAGGACTAAATTGATTTGAAAAAATGGATGGTAGACGTCGCTGTAGACGTGGGTAAATGAGTTTTATTTTACAATAAGTATGCTTATTAATTGTTTCCATGCTTTATTTTATATGCAAAAGTACACGTTTTAAATGTTAAATTTAAGAAAAATAAAAAATATATTATTTGCATGCATATGAGAGTCACCCATAGATGATACTGACATGGTAATGCAGTGCAATCGTGCACGGAAATAAAAATAGAAATGAAAATGAAAATTTTTTTATTTATGATGGGTTGCAAAATATTAAATTTATATTTTTATAAAGTATACATTTAGATGATGATTTCTAATGATAAAAGTGTAGCATAAATAAATGAAAATAAATGAAGTTGTTTTACTGTTTTCTTTTACCGCACAGTCCTTTTTTTACTGACTACTACAAATTTAATAAAATATTTCAAAATGAGAATTATTATAATTTAAAAATATTTTTC